CATGACAATTTACAAATTGACTAAAGGCTAGACTCCAGTTGTTCAAAAATTTGATAGTCCTATCTGACTCATGTGCACTGTAAAAGTTCCTATCTCATTTGGAGATAATAATATTTTAAGTCAAACACGCTTTGCGTGTCAGATGGGCCCTTTCGTAGTCTAATTGAGACATAACTTGGTAGTGGTGTGCTGATTATCTATCATAATCTATCATTGATCTGAAACCTAAAGCAAAGTGAGTACTGCTTAATATACAAACGTTCAATTGATTGTTGTGGAAAATACACAAAAACATTGTTAACAAATAAGGACATTAATACTCCTGTGTTGTCTTTTTGATGGACTCTTAATGTAGTTTATATGATGTTTAGTTGGTTTAACTATGTGACAGATAAGCTTCTGCTTGTGGGGTAGGTTTTTGTTTTATTCACTTACAAAAGTATTTTCAGTGTTGAAAGTGGTGCACAGGGGTCACAAAACTATTATCTACTATAATTGATTATCAGTTTAATAGTTGGGTTAATCTGATTATTTCTGATGATATGATTATGATAAAGACACTATGACTAAGACTAACCAACACCTTAAAGTAGACTTTGGAAGTATTTGAGCCAGCACATCTAACAGCTGCATCCTCACAGCCCAACACCTATACAAGCTAAAAGCCTTGCCTTGTCCCTGTGTGGCATTTTCCCAGGTCTTCTTGGTCAATTCATTTCTGTGACTTACCTTAGGCAAACTGGAGGGAAACTGTTTCACTATATTGCTTGGGGCCACGTGACCCGAAAATCATTGGCCATGACTAGGCAACTAAAAGCTCACTATGGTAATGGGGACTCTGTTGCAAAACACTTCAAAAGCCTTGGCATCCCTACATGAAAAATCCCGGGATCAAGATGTTGCAGGCCCCTTCTGCTCTTGTTTATTCAGTGGATAGTGATAAATGCACCCTTTGAAGCAGTTTATTTTTTAAATCCAAATTTTAGAACTGAATTATAGCTGCTTCATAATCATACCCAGCTGGTTTTGGAATACTACAATGCCAGCCACTATTTCACCTGGTCCACAAACCCCCTTTTCAAGCATATGGTGACAAGAAACAACATGCACACTTAGCCTACAGTAATTAGAAGCTCAATTAACAGGTTTTGGTTTGACAGAAAACGTATTTATCTTAGGATCACTGTCACCCCATCTAAGGGAATCTGGAATCTGGGAAATTTTTCTCTTGGAAACTGAAATAAAGGTCAAGTACTCCAGATCCCACTTATAATTGGAATCCAGAATCCAAGTTCCACTGACAAAGAATCCAGAATGCAGTATCCATGGAGCAGAATTGAGAATCCAAGACTGTCCGATTTCCTTGCATGGGCTGATCATTATTTTCAACTTGACAAAATAAAAGACATCATGTGCTTTCATTATTTTATTTTTGCAACTAGAAAGACTAACTAGAACTATGCAAGTTTTTCATTTCTGAGAAAAGGAAACAGTTTATTTTCCCAATGTCTGTATATTTAGCTGTATTTTACTGCCTATGAAATGAGCAAATAATAATAAATTATCATCATTGTGACACTAAAAACTGAATAAATGAAAAGTCAGGATTAAAAATATCGAAGGATAGCGACAATATGTTTGGCTTCAATTTCTAGTTTTGTTTCGACATCTGCCTCTCTCGCTCCTCATGCCCCTTCAAAATCACAGTGAAAAAAATTAAAAGAAGGCCAGGTTAGGCCCATGCATGTTACGATCAAATGAAAAAAAAAATGCTTCACTGGACAAAAAACTGCTGAGACAAACCACAGATTATGCACGATTTCCGTATAACCCCATACATTAATAATATTATGCATACAGCTATTGTTCAAAGAAAACAAAAGGCAGTTTGCAAACGGACAGCTAAATTTATTGATAAGCTGAAGCCTTGCAAGTATTCTTTGACAGATCGGGAATTAAAGAAACAAATCTTTTGTAATTTTAGAACACACAAACCAAAAAGAACGAGCAACAGAAATACCTCTACGCCTCATAATATTCCCAGCGATTACCATTTCAGATATCACTATCTTCGAATCTTTGCCTTCCAACGGTACAGTCACAGTTTTCCGAACAATCAGACCTGAATTCTGTGCACCTTTTAGGTCTCAAACACTGAAGAAAGCACTTCTCAGCCTCTACGAAGCCCTCAAATGTTAACCATCTTTGTTTTGGAAGGAATAAACCAATGAGAGCGCACGTATAAACGCACCATGGAATGCACCAATCAGCTATCGTTTTAGTTCGCTGTGTGCCAGGGTCTTCTCTCCTGCCGCCGCCATATTGGAAAGCGAGAAGACCCTGGGGACGAGGTTGGGTCTTCTCTCCTGCCGCCGCCATATTGGAAAGCGAGAAGACCCTGGGAACGAGGTTGGGCCACACTTAGGTCAACTGACAGAAAATCTGTCATCTCGACCCTTCAGAAATATAACTTCTGATCTTTGGCTTCACATAAAATAATAACAAACGGGATCTATAAGAAGGACTCCGGTTTACAATGCCCTTTGACAACCTACCAAAAGATGCAATTATGCCTCACCCTTTCAAAGAACACTGACAATAGAGTGCCACAATAGAAGAAATTTAGCGTATGTTTTCGATTATCAACGCGGGTGTTTTAAAAACACGATCAATTGGCAAATAAATAACATTTGTAACTACACTGTAACCATTTCTATCGTGTCCTTGTAGTAGTCAGGCCAGTAAAACCGCTCTTTGATTTTCCTCAGAGTGTTATCGCGGCCGGCGTGTCCAGAAAAAGGAGCAGAGTGGCACTCTTCGAAGACCCTCGTTTTATCTTCTTCGGCGATAACAAGACGTCGAAGCGCTGTGCCATCCTTCTCCTTGGCCACGTAGAACAAGGACTCTAATTTTGAGTCATACTCAAACTTTTTGGCGAATTTTCCAAGAATTGTTTTGTCCTGCTTTGTAAAGCCTTCCGGATAAACCTTATTTTTAAGATACCGGAACAGATTTGTATATTTAGCGGAATCCATCTCTAAAAGGTTTTCGATTTTCCCGCGAAATCCCAAATTGTTTTGGAGGGGATGCCCAAAACGCTAGGGATTTGGGCATCCCGGGAGGGTACCGGGGGATGCCCAAAACGCTGCAGTAATATGAGAAGGGGATACCCAAAACGCTAGGGATATGGGAATGGGGATGCCCAAAACGCGGGGATGCCCAAAACGCTGTGACACCGGCAAATTACCCACATGTCCTGCCTTGTCCCCAGTCACTCGCAAACAAGGAAAGTGGAGAAGAAGGGACCATCACTCCCCTCCCGCGCTTCTCGCTTTCTCTCGCTTAGTGCTCCCCACTGAGCCTTTGGATAATAATAATAATAATTTATACATTTATAGTGCGCTTTTTAACATACTAGGTGATCAAAAGCGCATTACAACAATAAAAGCCTTTGGAGGAGGCAGCCACATGTCCCAAAACGTGTCATTCCGGTTTGCAGTGCTGTTGTTTTGTTCAAGCCTGTTAAAGGAAATTCTGATCCTTTTTTCAATTTCATTTAATTCCAAAAACCGAAACGCCGGGTGATGCAAAACACCTGACAGTCATGCCTCCTGCATTCCATCAAAAATTTTAACAATTTACCCCTCCCCTCCTTAGGCCTATAAGAATCCAAATACAAATACATGCCATCCATAAAACTGTAGTCTGCTACACAGCCGTTTTTAGTGTCGTCACGCAACGCTCCTCCCCACTAACGGGGAGGGGAGGAGCGTTGCGTGACAACACTAAAAACGGCTGTGTAGCAGACTAATAAAACTGGGAATTGAGCGTTATCTATGTTGCACACTCTTTTATATAATCATTCTGAGTTCACATGAATTAAACTACATGTACTCTGATAACTGCAGCCTCATGTCCCGCTCAGGAAACAGAGGAAATGACACTATGGGTAACAAAAACATTCTGATTACTAAGCAGTCTATAAATTAAAAACAATAAATAATACGTACAGAAGAATAAAGTGAACAATTACACGTATACATGTAGATACAACTTACAACTGTACACTTAAAATAAAAATGCATGTTTAGAACATTTTTTACAACATTTACATGAACTATCCAATAAATAATTTAATTGATTTTGTATTCCACACGTTGCTATATGCTTATCATGTACTCATGATGGAGTCACTCCATCAACCTGGACATTCTCCACTTTAGAAATGAGATGCATATGGAAACTTGGCCAAGTTGACTTTTTAAAATACTTCTGGGACTGTTAATGAGGACAGGAAAAAAACTGGGCAATAGTGACCAGCACATCCTCAGTAATACAGGGTTGTCAATAAGGGTTGGTAGCCGGCCAAAACTGCCGGCTAGTTAGCCATCCTTAGCTGGCTACATACTTTCATCATCTCCTACCATAACTGCTAACAAAAAATAAGCACCATCGAATGCAATATTGTAAAGCATATGTTTCTCAATTTTGAATGACATTGAAGGCATATTTAAACAGGTTTAGTTAGATCTGGGAATTTCGATGGCATTGTTCCCAGTCTTGCATGTATTCTGACAAAGCAATATACGGCGTCCGCAGTGGAAAATACCTCTTGAAAAGACCTGGAAATGCCATTTCCAAGACTCTAAATTTCAAAATGTCCCTAGATGCCTGGGCCCTCCAGAACGTGTGCCTTTGATGCGAGTTCCAAAGCCACCCACTATTCATTTAAGATTAACCTGCTACTTAAAATCTTTTTGGCAGCCCTGAGTAAGAATCCCAGAAGTGTTCTTCTAGTTTCTAAAGTGGCATTTGGTAAAAATCCTTTTAACAGGATCAAACTACAAACAGAAAACGATCTGTGAAGTCTACATCGGCATCAGGCATTACGAAGCATCATTCAACCAGAAAAAGGCAAACAGAAGTACTGTCTTCGTTGCCCTGTGTATTTAAAAGGTCTGAAACTGAAACTCAAAGTAAAGGCTCAACAGTGTTTTGAAGGCTATTTTTACATGTTTGAAAAAAAAAACTGAGCAGATGTTTCTCTCTTGCATGACTTTTAGTGTTTATGACAAGTCATTTGCGTCGCATGTCAGTTGTGTAGATGGTTTGTTTACACCCTGACAAAAATGTTTCTCCTGGGGCGTAAACAAACCAACTAAGTAACTGACATGCGATACAAAAGGCTTGAAGGCTTGTAAATGCTGTAGGCATGCAAGGGAGTAACCTCTGCTCGCAGGGTATTGAGGAACAAGGTCCAAGAGTAAAGCTGCACTTTTGGTTGCCTCATTTTCTTTCTGTTTACCATGCAGGAGCTTGAGTGAACATAGCTCTAAGATTAAAACTTTACCTCATCACCACTTTATAATTTTGACCATATTTTTTTTGGCCCAAATGAACAAAAACACCAACTTATAACCTTCCTAATCCAGGGGTTTCAATAATAGTTGAAGTAGCCAGATTTTATGATATGGTACTTGTTTACGACATCATCAGTACTAGTTGCTTCTTCTTTTGGGGAGAAAAGTAGCCGACTTCTCTAAGCAAAATAATTGACGCGTTTTGTCAGTTGTCGGTGCTTATTGAAACCCATGCTAATCCAAACACTCCCTTCATAAGACTACCTAAAAAAATTTACCAGATTTTCATCACCCTTGAGTGGTTGAATTGAATGGGTTTCACTATGATGACAAGAAGGGGTTTAGTTATTTACTATTGTTATCTAATGGTACCAAGTCTTCAAGATAGACAACTGTTCTTGAGTTTATCCCAGCTTGTGACAAACTTAGAGAAAAATTATCAAAAACTCTTCTGGGCACCTCATTTGTGCAAATGAGACAGGGAGGAAGCTCGTCCTTAGTAACTGATGCGGCAAATGCAATCACTGCGCCTAGAGTGTCTGTGGGTCTAAACCATCTCTCATGACGAGTACCATCCAATAGTTTTATGGCAAGATTAAGTCTCTCTGGCTCTGCATCTGTTGGTTCATCAGGGAGGGAGTAGTGTAATGATAGACTTGCAGTAGCTTTTGACAAGGTTGTCACATTATCAGTATCATTGCTGTCAGTTTGTATTCTTGTTCTACTTTGAGATAATTCACTTAAAGAATGGTAATTGTCAGTCTTGGGAAAAAGCCCTGTGCCTATAGAAGGAAGGGGCTTGTACTTTGAAAAAGATAGCTGTGGTTTTAGTGGTGGGGAACAGGAAACTGGATCTCCAACATCAGACAAACTCTCTCTTGAAGCTTTTCTTTCTCTTCCAACATGGGAGTTAGGATGCGACCGCCCCTTGGCTGATTTGGGGCGGCCACCAGTCTTTTGTCTGGATGGAGGCCTTGGAACAAAGACAGCACCATGAGAAGAGATCAGCTCTTCTGAGCTTCGACGTTGAAGGTTACTTCCCCCACAATAAAGAGACCTTTGTTGGGGTGACTGTGCTGCAGTTTGCAAGGGACTGTCAAGAGATCTGCTGCTTGTGGGTCTTTCGCCATGACGTGATAAAGGACGTTCACCAAACTTTTCTGCAATAAAAATGTTTGAACAAAAATGTTGAAGTGACTTCAATCCACAGATTTGATACAAAAACAGGCCAATTGGACCTTTTTACTGGATTCAAAGTACGGCAGTAAGCAGCGAAGGAAGTTCTCTTTGCTAACTCTATACATTTTCTGCTACACCAGGGGGGATCCTGTAACATTCGAGTAGGGGTGGGTGTCATTTTCTGATTTCTTCCACTATTTTTACTGTAATCGATCTTCACCTTTAGTACCAATGCATCGACTTGCATTCTGAACAACTAAAAACAGGTGTTGTCGGTTTTTCAATGAAAAGTATCCATTTTGAGTAAAAGATAACCCCATTTGATTTAAGGGGCCAGCTGAAATTAATGTACGATTTCGTGAAATGCACAGTGAATTTTCTTAACATTTTCCTTACCTCCACTAATACGTCTCACTCCAGACGCAGCTGGCATTTTGGCTTTTACCGAATGAGGAATCGTTTGTTTATTCTGCGTTGCAGATTCAGTGAGTTCGTTCGCTGGGTACATCGTCAAATGTCCGCCGCCATACTCGTTGTCTCCTTTGCTTAGCAACTTCCGAGCATATCCCGGAAATTTATCGATCTGTTACCGAAGAACGTTGCTTAAACTTTTAGGGCATTTGTAGAGGTAAAAGCTGGTGGAAACGTACTTCGTTGACAATTGATATAAAGTATTCACGGAAATTTCAACCTGACAAGGCGTCCGTTTCCTTTTCCTATTTTCCCGAAGGAATAGGATTTTCACGGAGCGCTCAGCGGTTTTACGGCATTTTATTGATTGGTGTTACTAGATCCCAAGCCTCCATCCAAAAAACCGGAAACAGACCACAGTGTGCAAAATCAGCTAGTCTTCGGAATATCTTTCGTTTCACTGTTCATGATCGAAATTTTCATGTAGCAATGACTGCCGCCGCTGATGAAGACTGGGCGGCTGAAGTTGATGAGCAAGAGCGGCAAATCTCTGGAGAAGTAAGTTACTGACGCCGCGGTTAGAATTCCATAACGCGTCATTCTTTGAAACACGTGCGAATGATTTCGCATGTACGTTTCGGCGTCCTCTGCTTATAGCTGTTGAAAAAAGTTTTGAAGCTTTAGCTTGATAAATTAATGAATTTTCATTTAGTAGCTCGTGTGTTAGCTTAACCAATTTTGGTTGTATAATTTATAAAAACCCATCAAACCGTTGAATGATGGCTTCATTTTGATGCAGAGTTTTAAGCTGACATGTCGATCCGGGGAAAAAAGAAGAGTGTATTGATATTACACCTTCATATTCACTTTCATTTCATAGGAAATGTACTGGTTTTCAGACTTTTCTTCCCTTGTGGTAGTGAATAAAATCAATGATACTGCAAGATATTTTGGACAAGCCTCCTTGTTCAGGAACTCATAAGCAGCTTTTTAAGCACAGAGATGGCCAAGAAAAAGGATCATTTTTTTTTTCAAGGGTTTTGGTATTAAAGGCCTAGTCATTGCAAGCGTGCCCGTTCTCTTCCTTCTGATCGTGGGCATTTTCATAAATTAAACATTCTGGCTCCCCCAAGGATTTTCACTTGTGTTAAATTATGTTTTAAATGTCAAATTTTTCATCATTCACTACATCCTAGGGGCTTTCCACGCTTGGTGCTTGAGAACCAGTGCCTGGGCACTGGCACAAGGTGGTGTTGTGTTCGCACTTGAAATACCTGATATGTGACTGTATACATAGTTACTCCTTTTCACCTTGTCAGACTCCATTTTGAAACATGAGCTTAGTAGTGACAACTACTAGTGTACTGCCTGGAACTTACAAAAATTGTGTGCCGATAGGGACCCAGTGCCTACTTTTGTGGCCGAGAACAAGGTCAAGACCTTGTACTTGGGCCCCGGCACCGTGCCCGAATTCTAGCGTGGGTACTTGAAAAAATGGTTCGTTCATATTACTTGGGCACCGAGTGTAAAAGCTGTCTTGTATAATGTGTCATGATAGGAACAAGAAGCAAGAGATGTAATGATCATTAAGAGTAGTATTGTCGGGAGATTTACCTGAGAAAAAAGCAAACAATTCAATGACATTTTGTGATGCCACCACTGGTTTTCCCAGGAAATGACCTCTGAGGAACAAGGGCAGAAACTCTAGACTGATGATGTTTCACTAACAAGATTTGGGTAGTGATTCTGATTGGTTAATGCAAATTTCCCTTGCAGCACAACAAATCAGAAGCACAACCCTTATCTGGGTAGTGACACATCGTCAGTATGGAAATTCTGCACTCATTCCCCAGTGACGTGGAAAACATTGAAAACATTGGTGACCCAAAATGTTGGCTTTCTTCTCAGGCTACTACTAACACCCCTTTTGACTTTCATATATTTATTCACTATTTGCAGGTTGATAAGTTGACATTGAGTAACACAAGTACCACTAAACCAACTGAGGAGAAGCAAGCGAATACAGAAGAGGATAATGGTACAAATAAAATGCAAGCTCAGTGCTCAGTGATAATATTATTATTCATACTAATCATAGCTATCAGCTGTCCTGATTGGCTATCAACTGTCCTGATTTTAGCACTAACAGGACAGTGTAATAGGACAGTACGCTTTATGCCTAAGTAATTTGACGGTACGTGCCATCAGCCGCATGCACTTAAATGGCTTTTTTTTACCTTCTAGAAAAAGCTATCGTAATTTCTTGTGTTTTAATTTTAAAAAAGGACCAAATCTCACAAACTTTGTTATACTTATGATTAATTAGTTACAGAACTTTGTGTCATCCAATGTGGTCTGTAATCATACTCATGATTAAATAAATCGGACTCCCGCTATGCAGTCGTCCAATTTTGTTAATCACTTGAATGATTACAGACCGAATTGGATTCCACTCAGTCCTTAGGACCATTATTTATACTTTTATCAATACTAAAACCCCATACTGACATTGTCTTTCTTCCACAGAGCAGGCTAAGGCTACAGACCTTGCAGATGCTTCTTTTTTGATGAAAGTGTTAAGAAGTAAACTTGTTAAGACCAAGAATGAGGTTGAGGTACAGAGAAATGACCCAAGTTCACCCTTGCACTCTGTCAAGTCATTTGAGGAATTACCACTGTAAGTACTGACCACCATTCTATTGCTTTTCCTCCTGACATGAAAGGATTTTAAATTTCAAAGGTTTATCAGTGATTATTACCAGTGACTATCATTATTAGCATAAAATAATATAATCTTTGTTGTATTTTTTATTAGGTCAGAACAGCTCCGTCGTGGTGTCTATGATATGGGTTTTAACAAACCATCCAAGATTCAGGAAACAGCATTACCCATGCTCTTAGCTGATCCGTGAGTTACTGCATGTTTAATCCCTTGAATTAATTTTATAATAGTGTCCACAGTCTTCACATAATCAACACTGATGGACTAGTAAAACCATATAACCGGAATAATTTAATCTGAAATATCATTATGATACAGTGTGCCCATTTTCAGTGAGATAAAACGTCAATCATGAATAAATTTCTTTTCTCGGTGGGAACTTACCTTGACTCTCCTTTTCACTCTCCATTACTCATAAGGCCTCTGACTTGTCCTTGAAAAGTGTGTCTGGTATCATTAATATTTTTTTATGGGAATGAGACATTAACTCACTCCTCAACCCCCAACCTGGTGGGGCTAGGCATTGCAATTTTATTCATCTGGCCTCAGTTGTTCAAAAGGTAGATAACACTGTCCACTGGATAGCACAATTTTATTGGTTTGCCTAACATGTATCAACCGGATAGTGATTTATCCGGTGGATAGTGCTATCCAACTTTTAAACAACTGGGGCCTGGCCTTTCACCCAAAACCTGCCCAACACAGTTGAACCCACCAAAATGTGAGGTTCCAACCACTATACAGTGTAGTTTTCAGGGTCATTGAGGCACACGAACCTGCCCTCCATGTTATAAAGGCGCAACATGTTTGGGAGGTGTCTTGGTGGGTGTCAAGTGGCAGTTGTATAAATGTTTGCTTTTTTGTTTGATGTTTAGACCGAACAATATGATAGCTCAATCACAGTCTGGAACAGGAAAAACTGCAGCATTTGTTTTGTCCATGCTTAGCAGAGTAGATGCAACAAAGAACTACCCTCAGGTATTATTTTGTTTTACTTCGTGTATGTTCCTTCCTCCTGCACAACTTGTAATAAAAAAAAACAGATTCGTTGAGGTACTTGCAAAGTGTGAAACGATAAAATAAGGTGTAAGCTTTATGGCATCATTTTCGTGTCTCGTTTGTCTCACCCAACAGACTAAGAAAAAAAAGAAACTGCTTTTGGTCTACTGCCAATAATTGGTGTAATTTGAATGGTGATTGGTCAGACTGTAGGATTTCGTCTTAAGACTCAAAAGTAGAAACCACTTAAAAATTCCATCTTCCTCTCTAGTAGTGAAAGAGTTACATCAGGAACAAACATGAAGTGTTAGATAATGAATTTGTTCACATAAAGCTGAATTGTTGCAATGAACTGATTATTTTGTTGTACTTTTATCAAGGTTATCTGTATTTCACCCACATATGAGCTTGCACTACAAACAGGACAAGTGGCAGAAAAGATGGGCAAATTCTGCCCTGAAGTCAAGATTGGTTATGCAGTGAGGGGGGAGAGAGGTGAGAAACTGGAGCCAGGAAAAATAATTGTGCAAGACATACATGTAGGCCTCAGGGGGGGATACCATCCTGTCTCGCTCAGGGGTGTAAATTTTGGATTTTTTGTCTTACTTACTAAGAAAAAAAGTAAAATGCCAATATTTTTAGCATCTTAGGTCTTGTTTGGGGCTGTGGTCAAAGAAAGCTTGAGCCTTTCCTCAATTGGTTTCCTTAAGGGGTTTAATTCAATGTTTGGTATAAGCATCATAAAAAATTATTACAGAGGAACTGTAATCAATCCCTCTCAAAAAAAGGTTTTTTCTGTGTTAGTTGAAATGACCTTGTGGCTAGCTACAGCTTACATCTTTCTTTTCACCCTGAATAAGGCCTATAAATATGGCTTAGCATTGTTTTTGTTTTGTTGCTGAAGAAAATGATTATTGTATATTCCATAAACAGCCTTTAATGTTCTTAATCCCCTCTCCTTCTCCTTTCTACAGTGTCAAGAGGTCAGAAAGTTACAGATCACATAATATTTGCTACACCCGGAACTCTACTAGACTGGATTCTCCGCAACCGAGCATTGGACCCCAAAAAAATCAAGATGTTTGTTTTAGATGAGGCTGATGTCATGATAGCACAACAGGGACACCAGGATCAGTCCATTAGAATACACAAGTAAGGCTACTTCCCTTTTGTCATACTTACCGATGAAACTGGCAAAAAGATCTCTGTTACGTCCTTTTAATGAGATTATAAATAATCATAGTTACTGGGAGATTTTCTGTTGGCCAGTAGATGATTACATTGGGCATATGCATTTGTCTCATTTCCACAGAGGTTTGCCCTCTGGTTTGTTTCGAATAGCTTTGCCGCTCTTTTCTCTTTTGTTTGCTTCCTTCCACCCACCCACCTCTTTGTTCCTTGGAGGGAACTCCATTCACTTAAGTTGTCTTTTTTGATCTTTAATATTCTCCACTGAGAGATGAGTGTGACAGGTTCCAAGCGCAGGTAGCCAATGGCATGTTGTCATTGTTACCCCACTTTAGTTGCAATGCGAATACTGAACTTAACAAATAATGTATTTTCTCTGTTCCAGGACCCTGCCTAAAGATTGCCAAATGCTTCTTTTCTCTGCAACCTACGATGATGACGTGATGAAATTTGCCAAGACAGTAGTACCAGACCCTATTATCATTCGGCTGCGTCGAGAAGAAGAGAGCCTGGACAATATCAAGCAGTACTATGTGGTGTGTCGTGACAAAGAGGATAAGTTCCAGGCCCTCTCCAACATGTATGGCGTTGTGTCTATTGGACAGTGTATTGTTTTCTGTCACGTAAGTGTTAAAATAAATTCCTTCCCTCCCCCTCCTTTTTTCTTTCACCTTTCCCCTGATTCCCATTCAAATTCTTCCTTGCCCCAGGAAACGACTGTAAAGCATCTTAAATTTCAGTTGCTGTTTGGCAAATTTTTCGTAACCCCAGGATGTTTTTACATTTGTGTATGCCTGTGTCATTTCAGACTCGGAAGGCCGCCTCTTGGTTGGCAGAGAAGATGACAGCGGATGGTCATTCAGTAGCGCTGTTGTCAGGCGAGATCACAGTGGAACAGCGGCTAGCAGTATTAAACAGATTCCGCGAGGGCAAGGAGAAACTGCTAATAACAACTAATGTCAGTGCCAGAGGCATCGATGTGGAACAGGTAAGAACACACTGGCCACCATTAGAATCAGTGACCCACTCCCTAGTAAACATGGATTTTGGGTTCGTGCATGACAAAATCATAATATGTAATCAGAAATCATAGTAAGGTACCAGAATTTTAAACAGTAATGAAAAATGTAAAAAACATAAATCTTATTGGATATAAAATAGTAAGTAGGAGCCAAGTAAGAGTGCGGGTGGGTACTGTATGTTACTTCATGAAAATTAGGGTAGGGATGTATGGTATATAATATGCTCCTTAACTTACCATATTTTAGACCATAGTGATTGGGCCAGTTTTCAAATTTTGATTCTATGCCTGCCAAAACTACCAAAAGGTTAATATTTTCAGTGCTTCCTGATGAAATTAATTTCATTTGATATCCTCTTTGTAACTGCATAGGAGCATTTTTTGTATGGGTTAACACTTCAAGTCCCAATGGTGACCAACATCAATTTTCTTCTAACAATATCCATACAATGTCAAGAGATTAGGTTATGAGAACTAGTAAAATGATCCCCAAAGAGAAAATGCCTTGATCTTTTCTCAAATTCTCTCAACACATTCTTGAAGGAAATGTTTGGAGAATTTGTATGTGGATATTGAAGCTTAAAGGGTTCAGGCACTAAGTAATGACTTGAGCACATAATTGATCAAAAAGAGCAATTCTTTTGTGACATAGCCTTCCCCCCACTCCGCCCAATTCCCTAGTGATGCCAGTGAGGCCTTAAGGCCTGTTTACATGTAAACGTGATCAAATTAAAATAAGAGATTATATGGACAGAGGGGTTACTCCACCTAAGCGGGTTACCACACCTCCATGTAAACAGGCCCTTAGTAATAGGATGTTGCTTTATTTTTTGTCTTGTTTCTATAGGTTACTGTCGTAATAAATTACGATATGCCAGTTGAGCCCACGGGTAAACCGGATTTCGAAACATACTTGCACAGGATCGGCAGGACTGGCCGGTTTGGCAAGAGCGGCATTGCCGTTAACTTCGTTGATGGTCAGCGGTCTATGGCGATCATGAAGAAAATCGAAGAACATTTTGGCAAGAAAATAACGCTCTTGCAGGCTGATGACGTGGATGAACTTGAGAAACTGGGCAACTAACTTGAATCGCCAAAGTTATGGAAATCGATAAGAGTTATTTAACAAGGAGTGTTAAACAAGGGATTAACTCTTGAAACCTCACGCTAAAGTCTCTCTAAGGATTTCATTCCAGCCTAGACGTTTAACTTCCTATAGAACATTTGCAGCGCTTTGGTGAGGTGTGTAAAATGATTTTCAACGAGCGTGATATAATAGTGTTCTGTACATGGTAGTTTTAATAATCTAACTTAATCAATGGCTAAGCTGTATTTTGCGTCCAACGGGATACTTAGCAACTAAAGTGTTTCTCAGGAAATACTAGTAGCTGTTTGCTTTTCAGTAACATTTATGGATGAAATTGGGGATTAGTTATCTTTTGAAATGTGTTACTGGCCGTAAAGCTTTTATTTGAATGTAGCAAATCGTTTTTCAGAGACTACAAGCAGTCTCTCTTTGTTTAGTCCGTTGAGCAAAACGAAAATGACCTCGCTAAATCTGAAGAACAAGAGAGACTGCTCGCAGTGTACGTGTTTTACGGCATAATAAACAGTTGAAAATTGCTAAGGACTTAGGTACATTACGGACTGAAGAACGTACGAGAACCATTGTTGACTTTACGAAACGCCCTCGAATCATTCCTTGTGTAACACCTCCTTCGCCAATCGTTGTGTTCTAGCTGGCGCAAATATTTCATGGACATCTTTGATGAGATATTGTAGAGGGGATTGATAATCAGTTGCGACGTTCTATTACTCCATTCATAAAAGAAATTGTTACGTCATTTATAGGATTATACTCTGTTATGTTGTTTCATTATTTCAGTGTAGCATATAAACATTATGTGCACGCCGATGCAAGAAAGATTTAACTATCGCAGAGCGTATGCATGTCTTTCATGAGTCCAAGGCGTCTGAGTGAACATGGCATTTTTTAACGAAAGTGTTCCCAAAATTAAAAGCATTTCGCTTCTAGTTTCCAAACCCCTTTAAAAGATACCGGAAAAGATCACTGCGTTTTGTCCGCAGGTATGCCAAGCTCATGAGTGAGAATCATTGTTGAGTAACAGAAATATTATAAGGGTTTGTCTGGGGATTTTAGTGAGTGTATTTATGAGTGGAACTTCTTACCTTGCTTCCTTGGTTATTTGTGCAGTTTATTTTTGCCGTTTCAGCAAGATTTTGGCGTGTCTTAGTAAGGCCCAAAATGCTAACAGCACACCATAAATAAAATAAGACAGGACTCAGACAGCATAAGAAGTTCTCGTGTATTTTTATTGCTATTTTGACCTCTATATAACGATTGCTAAAATCGCCACACAAACCCTTACAATACTTTTGTTACACAACAACGCGTTCTCAAACGCCAATTTGGGTGTCCTGTGGTTTGTCAACACTTGTCTGATCAACAGGCAGAAATTCGGAACAATATCGTTCGTTTTGCTTAAAAGGTGACGAAAAAAATTGCGACAGCCATGCTTTGTAGAGGAGATCAACGGTTCTAAGAAAAACAGAATATTAAATCAAAGTGTCAAACAATGCAAGAGACTTTGTTTGATTGGTTGATAAAATAAAGTTTAGTCCGGGCAGGAGCCGATATACTTGGTCCGGGTCAGAGGGCGTAACGTGGGTTGGGTTCTTTGGAAATCCGATTTAAAACATCTTATCTCCAGCAGCAAGCTTTACAGAGTATTTCAAACTCAATCCCGAACTTTCCCAACGATTGGGTTAATGATACGGCCAACTTTCCAGTTTGCTTTGTTCTCCGTCGTGTCTTTTATCAGTATCAGTGAACCCGTTTCCATACAAGTCGTACCATGTCGCGCTTCGGGCCGAGAGTTAAAACGCTCCTGCTAGGCGTGAAGTTATTCATTTAGCCAACGTTTACGGACGTCATCTCGGCAAGTCTTCAAATATCTTAGTCGTCTGGTCATCTCTTCCCTGTCGCTCATCTCATCGCGATTTTTTTAAGGTAAGGTGCTGGTTGCCCACGCAACAGTAGATTTGGTGTGATTATCGGTGTTTCAAATTCTTCTCCCATGTAGCAAAGGGGTCGGTTGTTCAGGAATGATTCCACGTCTAACAAAACCTCCTCAAGCTCTTCAAATCTCAACAACGCTCGTCCAATTGCTTGGAAAGAGCGTTCTTAATGATGCCAGTCAACCTCTCGAAGAATCCACCCCACCACTGGGCGCGGGACATGTTAAATTTCCATCCGATCTCCTTTGTGGCTAGATAGTTAAAGAGGTTCTCGTCTTTCTGTAGGGTCGATAGCCACTTTTTCATTGCTTGGAAGGTCTTGGCGTTGTCACTGACTATCAGATCTGGCGCGCCTCGTCGCACAACAAACTCTTTTAAGCCTCGTTTGAACTCTTCGGCTGTCATGTTCTTTCAAAGCTTCAAGTGTACCGCCCTTGTACTTGCGCATGAGAACAGTGCAACGTAAGCCTTTCCAGTCTCGCTTCCAGATTTGTACAGGAGTGGCCCAGCCAAGTCTGCCCCGGTGACGTTAAACGGTTCGGTGAATTATGTTCTGAACTTCGGTAAGGCTCAGGTGGGTGGAGCATTTAGGACTATCACGCGGTATTTCTTGCAATAGTTACAACTACGTCGAACACTCTTAACCAGGGATCTCAGTCTTGGAACCCAATACCTCTGTCACACTTTGTTCAAGGTCGCCGCCACTCCCTCATGCAAGGTTAGTACATGGTAGTGTTCGATGATGCGCCACGCTAACGCTGAGTCGCTCGGAATGAAGATAGGAGTATAGCCCTGGATTCTTTCGTTGCACCTAATTAATCCATCTTCATCTTTGGACAGTCTGATGTCAGTTTTCATGTTACATGTCTTTTGTATGATCTGAATTCATTTGTTCTCTGCTTCCCTAATTTCAGACTTGGTGATTGGTCCAACCCGTCTTGATTTTTTTCAGCCATCTGTGAATCGATTCACATATGCTGTTACGCGCAGTAACGTCCAGTAAGGGAACTTGTTCAACAGGTCTTCTGCCCAGTCCTTGACGGCTCCTTGCGCTTTGTCCTCAGCCAGTAGCAACGTTTCTTTCTTGTGTCTTTCTTGTGCTTTAGCCTCATCCGTTTCCAAAATGGCTGGTTTCTGAGGCTTTTCGGACTCATCCGATAGCCAGCTTGCAATTGGCCCCCTTAGCCAAAACTCTTTGAGCTTGTTTGACGCTGATCCTCGTGTACCAAGGTCACTGAGATTCTCCGTTGTAGGGACGAACCTTCAAGTTCCCAACTCTGTGAGCTCGCTAATTATCTTCACTCGATTGCGTACGAAAGTTGTCCACTCTCCACGATTCGCCAGCCAGCAGAGTACTGTAATGCTGTCTTTTTAGCTACCTGGTTATGGTAGGCTGTAATGGGAAAGGAAGTCAATGCTCGGCTTACGTTGTTTTCAAGTTTCGCCAACGCGTGCGCGGCGACCAACTCCAGACGCGGGATGCTCATCTCCCTTAGCGCAACTCTTGATTTGGCTGGAAGTAAGTTCTGGTCTACTGCTGTCGAGTCTTGATATGACACAATGTACAATGCAGCACAAACAGCAACTTTGCTCGCATCCGCAAAACCATGAATCTCAAAGTGGGTTCGATTATGCTTGAAAACACAGCGTGGTACGGTCAAGGTTGGCGCTTTCTGCAGGCTGTCTGTCCACGATTTCCATTCTCTTTGAATCTCGGCTGGCACTTCTGTGTCCCAATGTAACTTCAGAAGGCATACTTCACTAAAAAGGAGCTTAGCAGTGATAGTGACTGGAGAGCCCCATCCTAGCAGGTCATAAATGCTGTTGATTGTTGAGATCATTCTCCCCTTTGTCAGAGGTTTGTCCACCTTAAAGCAAGTTTTGAAGTCGATACTCAGCGTGTCGTGCGCCTTGTTCCACAGTGTACCCAGGATTTTAGTTTCCCCGTTTCCTCTGTTTCCTACCAGACTCTTGGTGTACGTCTCTTCTCCTTCTGTCACTTTCTCAACTGAATTTAGTTGTCCCACGTTACTGTGCCATTTGTGTAGGCTGAAACCGCCCTCTGACATTATATTGGAAGCCTCTTCTTTAAATGTAGCCGCGTCTTCTTCCACATCGCCTCCCACCTGAATGTCATCAACATAGGTGTCTTCCAAAAGCGCCTACGCTGTGGCCTTGAACGCTTCGTCCTAATGTGCTTCTGTAGAGTCGCCCCAAGGATGTACGGTTTTGACGTGGCTCCAAATATCGCTCGCGTAAAACGGTACTCCGCTATGTTTCTGTCCGTTAGGTTGTCGTACCATAGGACCCGCTGTGCATCCCTGTCTTGTTCGTGTACCCGAATTTGGAGGAACGCTTTCTGAATGTCTCCGGTAACACAGTGTTTCCGCATCCGGTTCCGGAGAAGAATGTGAAATAGGAGAGGCTGTAGTTGTGGTCCAGTCTTCAAACAATCATTGAGAGAGAAGGTCTGGGTGTTGGCCCTTGATGAACAATCGTAGACAATTTTCATCTTGGTCGTTTCTGCTTGCCCTCGAATGAATGCCTGGTGGGGAATGTAGTGCACTACCTCACCCGTTTGATGAGGGGATACAGGTTCCATAATTCCAGCGGCCACTTGTTCCTGCATTATCTGATCGTAGTCCTGCAGCTTCCCCATTCTCTCCAGCTTCCTGGTTGTACTGTTCAGTTGAGCCACTGACAGGTTCTTGTTAGTCGGAAGTGGTACATGATCCTCTTTCCACGGCAACCTTGTTTCATAAAAGGCCTCTTGCGTCTTATTTAGCTGCTGGAGAAAATCTTCGTGTATGGTCTTCTTCTTTGTTGTCCCTGTATCTTTGAGCCCTAAAACGTCCAGCGAGCACAGCTTCTCAAACTTTTCTTGACCGGTCGTGAGAAGAAATTGCTTTTCTGTGACACCTTCTGTCACCGGTCGACTTCCATAAAGAGTCCAACCATGTATCGTGAATTCTGCGCCTGGATCTTTATCAGGATCCACCCCCAGGATTAATGGTTCTGTAGTACGAATCCGTTGGTAGTCTGCTGCCCCCAGAATGATATGGACTGACATAGTGTCGCTTCTTGTCGCTTCCTCAGTAAAGGTTAAACTCCTGAATCTGCCGCACTCTTTCTTTAGGGCCTTGATCTTTGGATTGGGCGGGTGAGTCAGTAAGTCTTTTTCGGCGTTAATACATTCGGCGTCAATTAAAAACTCTTTAACGGCAAGTGAATGTACAGCAACACTATATACTTCTACGATTTTCCGCATTGTCCCATACATCTGTTCTATGCAGCGTTGCTCTTTCCTCGCAGGTTTCAAGTTAAGTTTGGTTATCCGTCTGTGCACAAGTAGGAACTCCCGGCGTCCGAATCAAACATCACACTCACTTCCTCTTCCCCAATTTTCGCCAGTACTGTTGCATGAAGGGTACTGGCGTGGTTCATGACTGCACTCATACTCTTCTCAATGATTCTGAAATTGATCAAGTGTAGATTTTTCTTGGTCGCATATCGAGGTGTGATGTTTCCTGTTACAGTTTTTGCATCCTCTTCACATGCATTTTGTCACGCAGTAACCTTCACCAGTGCAGTTCCAGCACAATCCACAATCCAGTCGTCGTCCTTTTGAACAAGTATTTCTTGCACGGGACCCAGCTTATCCATCAGCGTATACACCATGCTTTGGGCGGACGCTAGCTTCTTCATTGTATTAAGGGTGCGAACTACTCTTGAGAGCCTGTTATAGAAATGATCGCGATCTTGTTAATGTTGAATATGGCCGGAAGTTCCTCCATCTCTTTTATTAGCGCCTTGTGGGCTTTGACATCTTTCCCATAAAGTTTGCTCTAAAATCCGCTTCGCTTGGCCGTATCCATCCTCTGTGTGCGACAGTCTGAGGATGTCTTCTTTTGGCTTGCCTTTACTAGTTCCAGAAGGTAATTGAACTTACTTATTTCTGAAATCGCGGCACCATCCACTTCGACCGTAAATTGATTCCAAAATCGTAACCAATCTTTGTAATCGCCGGAAAACGGCGTTATTGTGTATTTCTGTAATTTCCCTGATTGCGGCGCAGTTGTGTTTTTCCCAGCTTTTGCTTCTTCCATACGTTGTAACTGACTTTCTGTAATTTCCTTTTCGAATTCCAGCTTTTTTCTGTACCACTCTTCTTCTCTTTGGTTTTGAAGAAAAATAGCCTCCTCAATTTCCTTTTGTTGATGCAATTTGAGCTTCGTTTGCTCTTCGTTCACCTTGTGTTGAATATACAATTGCTTCTCAAGTTTCAAGTGCGATTTCTTCCATTTTTGTGATCCATTGTCCATTGTTTGATGTACTCCAAGTCTTTATCCGTCTCCATCATGTAATCGGCGGTCGTATACTTTAATTTTTCCAAACACTTAATCGATTCTCCGATCTGCTCGTACGTCCCAGAAATATCCTCTGTATTTCCACTCGCTAAAATTTCCACGATTTCGTCCAGTTTTAGCTTCACTACTTCCAGCTGTTTCCTAAATTTGTCCTCCGTTTGAGCCATGCTGAAGT